AGGTTTTGATAGTAAAACTACTTATTTGTGACTATGACATTTCTGACTGTAGGTCATGAAGTTGTTTTCCAAGTGCAGAAGGAAGGTAAAAGAAACATGCTATTTTCTACAAATGCTTGGGTTCTATTTAAAAAATCTTGTCAACCAGAAATGAGGAGGAGTGTCTGAGTAAGAGCAACCATAAGAATAGTCATTATCTTCTGAAATACCAGCTTACCACAGACAATGTATTTGACCAGCAGTACGATCATATGTTCGTGTCATTCTGATCAGGAATAACACTACACTGCTAAGTTCCAAATTTGCACTGCACATTAGTACCCAGCTTTTCATTGAGCTGGTAAACAGCCACAGTGAATTAAGTACATGTTGCAATGACAGATGGTCAAAATTGAAATTTCTGTTCTGCAGGAAATCCTGACCCTTCAGAATTTGATTATGCTCTAAATAGAAAGAATGCCACTACTTCAGAATTTCCCATTAAACAAATATCTTGAAGATATTCAAGACAGATTTTGGATTCAGGAATCTAAACCAAAAGCATTTTGCTAATGACAAAACAATTTATTTTTATATGATTGAATGGTTTTAGTTTGATGCTTTAGTATGAAGGTTTAGATCAATTTTATCTAAAGACTTTCTAAACCACTTTAGATTACTGTCATGGTTTCGACTGGGATAGAGTTGACTTTCTTGCTGGCAGCTGGTGCGGTGCCATGTGTTGGATTTGAGATGGGAGTGGTGGTGATGGCACACAGATGTTTACAGTTGCTGTTGAGCAGTCAAGACTGCTTCTCACACCACCCTGCCAGCAAGTAGGATGGGAGGGCACAAAAAGTTGGGAGGAGACACAGCCAGGACAGCTGACCCCAACTGACCAAAGGGTTATTCCGTACCATATAATGTCATGCTCAGTATATAAAGCTGGGGGAAGAAGAAGACATTTGAAGTTATGGAGTTTGTCTTCCCAAGTTACCACTATGTGTGATGGAGCCCTGCTTTCCCAGAGATGGCTGAATGCCTGCCTGCTCAGCAGAAGTAGTAAATTAATTCCTTGTTTTGCTTTGCTTGCATGAGTGGCTTTTGCTTTACTGTCTTTACCTCAACCCATGAGTTTTCCTTATTTTTCCCCATTCTTTTCCCCATCCCACTGGTAGGGAGGGGTGGGGAGGGAAACTGAGAGAGGCTGCATGCTCCTAGTTGCCAGCTGAGGTTAAACCATGACAGCTGTATTTCATGTCATCATAGTAATACAGTTAACATTCATATATAATGTAAAAGTCAGAACAAAATAAAGAACCAGCATTACTAAACCAGAAGATTTTTACAAAACTGAAACAATTATTTCTGACAGTTCTCTGTGGGTATCTTTACCATATCTGTTATGAAGCCTTAAAATATTGACTACCCTTCATTCATTGATAAAATACAAAACAAACTTCCCTTCCCCTGCCCCAAAACTATTCCATTGAAAAATGTGATTAGTTCTGGCATCACTGAAGTGAGTGGGAATTTTGACATTGACATCAGTGAAGTCAGAACTTTATTCACTGATTTCAGAAGGACTACTTGTGTACTTGAATACATGAAAACCTAAGTGCTGTATTGATCTGGAACCTTAACAATAAAACTTCAAGGAGAATGATCTCATCTCAGCGTCAGCTGAGAGCATAGACCAAGACTCTTAAGCATACCGCATAGGCTCAAACAAGCAAAAGCATTGTCCAGCCAGACTCTAAGACAATTTTCCATGAATTTACATCATCTGGAATAACAGTAAAAGGAGATTATTTCAAAATCAGTATGACCAGCCCACCAATTTTAAAGTATCTTCAACCACAGGAAACTAGTGACATGCTATTTTTACCATACACTTAGAAAAAATCATTACCGTTATTGCATTATTAAAATCTGCATACTTATAAATAAGGTATTGATTTCTGACATTCAGGAGATACTGTTCTCAACAGTTACTAGAATAAAACTAAACCATATGGTAACATAAACAACAGGAGAATTCACCAAATGTAGGTAAATATGCCTCAGGCACCATCTATTATGTGCACATCTGCCTCCAGGGCAGATTGCTACCATCTAGCATTACCAAGGGGCTCCATGTCTTTCTCAGGAAACAACTACAAACATCCCCAACAAATCATGGTGCTAAATATATGTTGCTCAGTCAATAAGACATTGCCTTCTGTCTTGGTTATGCCTGGGAGAGAATGTTTCTTTTTTTTGTAAGTTAAAAAAAAAAGAAAAAAAAAAAAGAGTAGTTTCTTTTCTGCCCTCCTGCATAATCCCTTGAGCCAGTGCTTTATTACAGACCTGAAAAGCCTCATGGGGCCCTTTTGTCACGGAACAGGCAGGGCTTCGTTTCCCACATATAGGCTTCTTTGCCCATCTACACTGCCCACCACTTTTCTCATGGCACCTCGGAGACTAAAATTCTTTTGGACGTCCACTGGCCTAGATATAAACATGAAGCTAAAGATCCTTACATCATCTCAGGCTGATATAGTCTGAAGTGACAATCCCACTGCTGCAAATGACAGAAGACTAACAACCATTCTCACCTACCTCCAAAAATTTCCTTTGCTAGTGCAAAGTAAAAGGCAACTTAATTTTAAACAATAGAGAAGTATATTTAAGAAAGAGTAGGAAACAATATTTCAAGCACAAATCATGCAATGCAAATGACTGCAAAATGCCATTGAAATTTTCAGAATGATCACTTAAAAGCTTCATTGTTTTCTTTAAATGAATGTTTATTTTTGGTACAGTAACTCGATATTTTTGGTATCAGTAGGCGGAATGTACTTTCTAATCTCAACTTTATATGAGTATTAGCCAGAGCTTTGCAACTACTTTAATCCAAACAGATGACTGTATTTAATACTGCGGTATAACCTTGCTTAGTCTCCAAAATAAATTTGCAAAGGGAGTGGAATACTCTGAGGATAATTAATGTGATAGTGAGATGTTTTTATCTTGATGTCATTATTTGAAACCGACTAAATTAAATTTGTTATGTTAAGTAATCTGGGGCACCAAATGGAACTGGAACCCTACTTCCTACATACAGAAATATACCAGGACACAAAGCCCTGTCACAAAGCAGACTATCCAAGCAGCCACAGCATAAGAAAGAAGCTCTATTATTCATAATATTGTTATAGTATATATTTATGTATATTCAATAATAGTGAATACATATTCATTATATTATTCATAAGAAGAAGCCCTATTATGACTGGCCCAAGAGCAACTCACCTATGTTCCCAGAGCAAATACATGACAGAGATGGAAACTGAGCAGGGATCTCCCAAGTGCCAAGGTCTTAAGTCCCAACCATCACTATGGAAGAACCTGCACTGACCCCACTGGATCTATATTTGAACTATGGCAGCCAGATACAAGACAAAACAGAGATGGGCAGCAAGTAAGCATCCACTGAAATGCTAGTCTAAGGACCCACTGTCTGTGTTGACAGATGCGTTTTTCCATTTTGACAGTGCGATTCCACTCGAGTTCTCTGATCACCTTCTAAGTATTGCTGGATATTGCTATTGAATTTGCCACATTTTTAAAAGTACAAATTATATCCTATGTTTATTAATTATCTCTATAGACAGCAAAAGCAAATAAGGTATTTAACACTGATAAGAATTATTGGCCTGATAGAATGTGCAAAAGTTTCACTGGAAACTCATGGAAAATGGCCAGAAGTCAACATTACCAGGAGCATAAAACTAGAGAAACTGCAGGGAAAACCCCTTCCAACCTAGCCGATTCTATGATTCTATGATGATTGCAGGCAAATCAAGGTTCAGTAAACATTCAGCATCTGTGGGTTCCTTACGGTTTTTCTTAAGCCAGAATGAAAGGGTTAAGCACATAATTCTCTATCCCTTTTTCTTTCTTTTTTTTTTTTTTTTTTTTTTCCCAAAAAGAGTCTCCCTAGAGGTCTCCCAAGGCCTGAATCTATCGCTGCATTATTTAGTCACTTTAGGTGTCTTTCCTTCTTCTTTGCAGCAATTTTGCCTAAGCACTCCTGGGACTGGTATTGCATTACAGATTCATCAATGATTTGCTGCTTACTCTACATTATCCCACAAGTGCTGAGGCAAACAGTTCTTTGCCAGGATCAAATGATGTTCTATATTCGCCTGCAGTTTAAAATCTTGTTAATGTTGACACTTCTGATGAAAGCTCTGCAGTGAAGCTGGAATGAGTGAAACCTGAAGGCTTTGGTGACTGCCAAATAAATGGGTACTCAGGGCACAAAGTTTTTTCCACGTCCTCTATACGCCCACAGGGGCATCATCAACTCAGGTGACATCTTTACCAGAAACAATGTCAAATAGAACACCTAACGCACTCTGTCTGTGCGTGGATGATATTGCTCATGGGTGACGGGGTGACTGTTTGCTACCCTACGTTGCTAAACCAGTGTATCTGAGAAAGAACTTTGCTCTAAAGTCAATTAAATTTAATGGAAAGACTCCAAATTACTTCAATGATCTTTGGACCAAGCTCAATAAGAACTAATTAGGCCTTGATTCCAAAGGTTAGTTGTCAGAATTATTCATAGATTTTTGTTTGTTTGTTTTTAATATTGGATGAGAAGCTCTTTTTTCATTGTTTAGAGGGACTTACATCACTTTGAAAGTCTTAAGTTGCAAATACAGATGCCAGTATTAAAAACATTAATTTCAGATAATAAGTAGAGAAATTTTATGCCCTGTGTAAATGTGGGGGAAGAAGGAAATACACACTAGAGTTAGTGACACCTGTAATTTAGTTCTGTGGTATTTACTATACTCCAGAGCCTTACCAAACCTTACACTGTTCTACATGAATACAGGTAGGTTTACTAACTATAGCTTCCAGTTCTGCCAACAAAATCTAGGACCAGAGCTGGACTTTTCATAACGCACCTCACTCCCTCTTCTTGAAACTCCTGAGACAGAATAAGATTGCACGCCTGAAAAACTTACCACAGGAGGGAACACACTTGAAGAAAGGCGATGACACAGGTTCCTCATAGGGGAGTGATACCACAGGAAATGGCTGAGCAGGCTCAGCACTTTGTAAGATTTATTTATTCTGGCAGCAGATCACCACCTGCAAATCAAATTAAGAAATGCTCACAATCTAAAAGTCACAAATTCAACCAGGGTGAATTATATGATGTCATTTATCTGATTATTTTCCTCCTATTTTTTTTCCTTATAAATCATCCCAGTAGGCCATGAATTTTTTCTTTGGACTTTCTCCATTACTACAAATAAATTGCTAAATCATTTCTACATATTAGTCAGTAGCTTATTGCTTTTTTATAGGAAGTTTTCCTGGAAATTGCAGGAAGTACTTAAATTTCAAAGCATAATAAATATAATATACACAAATTGTATTTATAGCATACAAGACAGGAAACATAGATGCAATTCTTCTCTATGAATTGGTCAGACAACAAAATGATTTAACTTAAAGCATGGTCTTCAAAAAAAGACCTAAAATCTGCCTTTGGATACTAGAGTCCAATTCTCTTTGGTGCTAACAAAATGTCAAGTCACATTCTAGCAGAACGTGGGCTGCACCTTTGCTGCTGAGCTCTGAAACCCTAGTTACAGGAGAAGAGGAGAGTCTTTTCTTTGTGGTATAAGGGAGGGGATGACAGGAAAGACATAGCTGACACACTCACAGGGTGCACACAAAGGCAGAGAGCAAAAAGCTCTTCCTGTAGGCAGGGACTGTTCCCTCCTTTCTCCATGATAGAGACTTATCCCCCTGAAATAGAAGGAGGTGAAGGAGGATGGCTGCTCCCCTCCTCCATCTCCCACCTCCTTATACTCACCAAAGGGACAAGCTCAGGTGATTTCTGGCACAGAGGTTTTCAACAGACTGCCCCCACCTGCCCCTTTGGCAAAGGCCATATCAGCTGAAACAGGCACCTGCTCCATACCCTCTCCAAATCACAGGTCACTCACTGTCTTAAAGCAGATGAAACACTAGGGTACAAATGGGATGCACTGAAGGTCATCTGATGAAAGTCATGGTGGGCACAGGTATATTACACACTCATCATTTGCCCTGTGTGTGGACATGAACTACTGGCAAACCCATTTGGTCTGAAGTGTTGGTCTGCAGAGCTGACTTGTAATTAAGAGTCTCTTGCAGAGCTGTGGCGTACCCTGTACAAATCCAAGCTTTAGAAGCAGTGACACTGTCAACCTGAGCAAAAGCCAATGAAGGTGTGACCAAATAGCCTTTCTGAAAATCAGTTTCTCAACAGTCTTGTGGTTGTGCTGAGTAACAGTTACTCAGATTTCTAATTAACAGACCATATAATAGATTTCGGGTTAATAAAAAGTAAAATTGGAAGAGCTCAGATGCACTAAATACCTGTGATGATGCCAGTCTAATTGCGATTACGTTGTGTAAGTATCTTTGCAACTTGTATTAAAATAATAACAACAGAACTGGCATTAATTTATGCCCAGTCAATCAGAATGATCCATAACGTGGAAGTTTTTAACAAACTGCTGTCCAACAGTTTTGACATGTTTTAAAACAAGCCATGCTGATCAGCCCTGTAGAGGCTAATGCTTCTAAGCTTAATGACTCTCCAAAGAGGAGGAGGCATAAAGATTTAGCGACTCAGTAGACGTGACTGCACAGACCTCTGCAGACAGCTTGGAAATGACAAACAATTTGTTAATAGAGAAGCTTTATTTTTATATTATTTTTTGCCGATGAAGTGAAAACAGAGCATTGATTAAGCAATCCAAGCTGAGAATATTCTGTCCAAATTTGAGAGCTTTCAGACAGGCAGCTGGTTCCAAGGCTTTGAAATACAACTTCTGCTTGTTGTTCGATGCTTAAAGATACCTATCCTAGAGCCACCGACAGTAATTGATGTCAAGCTGACACTGTAGTTCGCAGATGGATTTCGGTTGTGTGCGCCATGCCACATGCACAACACTTGTGTAAAAAATGCTTTTTGTCTCAAAGACTACGAATGGAGAGAAAGGATGAATAGAGCCATCCACAAAAAAGTTCTCCACACAAATGGAGTATGGCTGAAGAATAACAATAGCCCAACACACTCTTAACTCACCATCACCCCTCTCTTCCTCCTATCAGATGAAGTCATTTGTGTATAAATTCAGACCGAGCCTTTCACATGCAACACTAGCTTTCTGCACGGCTCAGATTCTAAGCTCATTTCCTGTGAACTAATTTTACTGAAGTGACCATACTCATGTAAATGAGCACTAGGTGTCTAGAGGTAATTACAAATATTTGTGCTTTTTTCCTTTGCAGAGAATTCAGTTTTCCAAAGGAGCTTTAAATACAAGCTTTTGGCCTGCACAGATATTGAAGTTTGAGTGACTCATATTCTCATTCCCTTGTGTAGCTACATTATTAGACTGTATTTCCCCCAATTCATCAGAGAATAGGCTATGTCCATAGCCATAAAGCAGAGATAGTGGCACGTCACGGGAGATTAGGTCCAGACAGGAAAAAAGGCCCCTAAGTAGAACAGAAGCAAGAAGCATCTAAATTATAAGACTCAGAAGTTATTATGTAGCCTTTTTGGAATTAAAATGAATACGACTTGTGGTTGAATATTTGGAGTTTGAGGTGGGTTTGTTTTTATTAAAATAAGCCTGCAAAAATAACATGGTTTTCACTACAAATCTCCTAATGCACCTACAGAAAACTTGCTGCAATGAAAAATTTTCACCTTAATCAGGTCAGTTTGTTTGGACAGACTGCTGAGTAAATACCTATGCCATATTATTTGTATTGTAGCTCTTTCTCCACAGCTAAGAAAAATCAACACAGACATATAAGCCAAGTCAAAAATATGCATTATTTTTAACAAATAAGTATTAAAATAAATTATATGTTTTTTCAACTAGTGATCTGTACATTTTACATGCCTGAAAATTAAACCAGTTATTTTGTCTCTCTAGATTTTAAATCAACTCCCATCACTCTAACAGGCTGTTAACAGAGGGAGTGTCCTTGATATAGCAGGATTGTTTTCCTGAAAAGTTCATGCAGGAGTACAAATCCTAAGGCTAAGGTCCTGTTTTCTGAAAATCTTGCTCAGAAAGCCAGTACATGCCCCTCAGAAGGGGCAGCTTTCCACTACCATGATTTATCATCCCCGTTTAACCTATTCTGTCCATATTCTTGATGGAAAAGTTTCTAATTGTTTGAATACCTCCTTCTTCCCTGAAAAAAAACAATCAGAACAAGAGAACAAAACAAAGATTTCTGTCAGCTATTTTAGAACAGAGACTGGGGAAAAAAACATTTCCAGTGGTAAAATTATTTGGATGGGGCGGTTTGAGATGAATTACTGAGCACAAGATTTATTGGGTGAGTAAAACTTCAACACCAGTGCCAGCGGAAACCCTCCTGTACTCCTTGTAGTATTCTTTACAACACTGTGCTCGTACCTGACAATTCTGTAGATATTCATAGCCTGAGTACCATCTTGATCAGAATTTCTTTGAAATTCCTTAATATAACATTATGTAAGCACTTCTATGAGATTTGTTGCTGTTCTTTTGGTAAATACAATATGGAGTTTTGCTGCCAGAGAGGAAAGTAACAGCTTTGTACGCACATGAGATTACACTCTTCAAAACAAAATTCTGTTTCCTTTTCTTTCCTATGACTCAGGATCCTGCTTTGCTGTGAAGTTAACACAGTGGTAAGTACTGAATCACACACAGATTCCTCACTAATCTCTCCTGAATCTTTCTGACACACACAGAAGTGATATTCCAGCTAAATTTTATCAGTCAAACTTAGATTCACTGAGATGTTACTGAAATAAATCGATGTATTTACATACAGAAGAGATTTGGGAGATTTTTTTTTTCATTCCCACAGCAAAAAGTTACACTATTCAAAGTAGCTGTGTCCATTAGATTGAAAAAAAAACAACTGTTTTTTCATTAACTCATGACTTTAAATGTATTTCATAATTTATTTGCAGTGGAAAAAGGATTTATGAGTAGAAATCACAGGAGAGTCATAATTCAGGTCACATTTGTGCAGCTCACCAGCTAATCTGAAAATCTGAATGCACTGAGACTTCCCAATATCTTCTCAGAATTGTGTGTAATATTACTTATGAAGAGGCTCAATCTAAAGGGAAGCTCTTTATATACCAAAAAATATTTTCTGCATTGTCATCTAATTCTTTGTTCAGTCATTTTATGCCTATTGCTCAAAATTTGTAAATTAACAGCCAAATCAGGTTTTGACCCATTCACTGTCTTCTCCCTGTAACAGATTAATAACTAATATATACTCCCCTACTGGATTGGCTAAAAAATGCAATGGCACATACCATGCTTTCTCCTTCTACCAACTACTTTGTAATCTAGTGACAGATTATTAAAGTGAAAGCAGGGAAATAAATGATATTTTATCTCTTTTCATTCCCAGTATCCTACTGAAATTTCCTACTCCTATTAATGACTGTACCGGATGAAAACAGGAAAAATCTTCCTGCAACTGAGAAAGAGACCGAGAAGTCAAGGAGATTGGGTTCAGCTACTGGTCTTGCCCTAGATGAGTGACTCTGGCTTATTTTCCACATTTCACACTGACCATAAAGACATATTTGCTTCCTTTGGCCCTGAATGTATTTTACATATTTCAGTTGCAAGCTCTTTGGGGCAGAGTCTGCTGCTGAATATGCTTTTCCAATGTTAATGCAACACAGACATGATATATCTTGAGATCTGACAAAAATCCAAGTACTAAGTAGTTACCAAGGAACTTTCTCCACACAACAATTTAGTTCTGTGAAAGACCATTTTCCTGAGCTCTCAGTACAGCACTTGTACATTTGCAAATCACCAGGGTGCCAAAAGAAAATCTAATAATACTTAAAAACACAGAAATAAAACCTGAGTCAAGTGGCAAAAAGCCTATTAGAGAAATACTAGGCACTTGGACAAATCCCTGCATCCTTCAGTTTCCAAGCAGTTTCATCTTCCAAATTATTCTGCACTTCTTTTGATACTGCACATGTATCTCTTAAACAGCTTTTACAGTTCAGTTAAAAAAGCCAACGCTGTGAGAAAATGCTG